ATTTGTGTAATATAAAAATGTGTGATTGGTATTTCAATATATTATGGATATAACCTCAATAGTATTGCATGATGCAACTGATTGTAAGTCAAGAGTGCCTCGATGCTGTAAAAAACAATAAAAATGCATTGTGTAAACCAAGAAATGTACTTGTTTGTGGTTTCCTGGTTGCTTTAGGGTTAAACCATTCATGCATGAATTATGAAAACGTCAGTCAGGATTTTATTACCAAGTGTCCTTATTGCTCTTGGGGCATTAAACACAAGATTTGAACATTAGTTTCTTTTTATCTAGTTTTTTCAAATTTTGAAAATAAAAGTTGTATAAGTCCACTCAGGTGGTCAGTATGTGTTTAAGTTTGAACTGAAGACATGTACATTTTGAAAAAATGATAAATAAAGATGTGCAAACTTAAAATGACATTATAATAACTTAAGTATATTGATTTACGGCCCAACAAGATATTGCAGATGAAGTATTTTCAAGAACAACAGTAGCAGTAACAGTATGAATTGTAGTTTAAATATAGCCAGTGATGCATGACGTCCACTGTAGTGGACAGGTGATTAATCATAATTTCCTGCAAACATAAAATCAATACTTTGACAATTTATGAATTATATGATTCCTTAGTTGTTACTTGATGTCACCAACATTGTTATACCTGCAGGGGGCGCTTTCCATAAAAGGATTGGCAAGATATGGACTAGTGATTCGGTCCATCTGGCTTTCTGTTGTCTATCTTGGTTTAGATAAATGTATCATGCACTTCCACTGACTTTCCACTGAGTGGCAGTGTATGGGATGATGCAATAGGGTCCTATGTAGTGGCTGATGTGCAACTACGCCATCAAAACCCATGCATATACAAGAAAACACCTTTTGAATAGTTGTCCACTGTAGTGACCTCTATGCATGAAATACATGCAGATACGCTAACATGTAGCAGTACTAAATGTTCCACTTTGAAGTCAACAAGGATGAACAATAAACACAAACAGCTGTATGAGAACTTCCCCAAGGGATAAGGGGTGATGAAGGACAGTGCTCCTATAAAAGAAGATGAACTTTTATGTTAAAATAAGTTTTATTTTTTTAGTTCAGCAGTACCCTGTCAACAGGAAGTGGTATCCAAACAGTAACCTGGTTACAGCAGTAGATGGCAGCAGCAGAACGTCATGGTGCCGGTGTCTCCAAAAGCTCTTCATTCTGACACTGCAGACAGCTGCTGCTCATGATCTAAATGAGTATGACATAACGTGCATTAAAACTGAACTTTTCCATTTGATATTAACTCATTTACATATCACCATGCACTGTTTCTTTCTATGAATCCTATATGCGTCACAGGTAGTGCTGCGTACCTGGACTCACATTCAGGTTCAGAGGTTCAGGTTCAGGTCCGGACTTATAAGTCCGGACCTGAACCCATGGCTTGTGTCAAGTTGTGTGAGTAACTAAAGTGAACTTATTGTGAGCTAATTATCAATTGAAAATTAACTCATAATCAACTCAAATTCAAACTCGTCAGGTGTATTGTGCTCCCTTCCAACTTGTGTCTAGATTTCTCTACAAAGTACAAATATAAAAAAAAAACTTTTTGCCACTTAGTCTACAAATGACTTATGACAGCAACTACAGTGAACTACTACAAAGTTCAAACATTTATTTCATTTACCAAACTAAAGTAACCAAACAGTCCCTGAGCTGACTGAGCCTAAATTCCTAAAACGTTGCTGAAAGGTAGAGTGTAGAGTAGACTATCTACTCTACCTCTTCAAGCTACCTAACTTTACTCCTTCCACCTTTGAGTTCCATGCCGTCACAGTAACCCATCCTATACAGTTAACCATTGTTGTTCTCTACCGTCCACCAGGCGCCTTGGGGGACTTCTTGGAGGAATTAGATCATCTCCTCTCACACATCCCTGAAACTGGCCCTCCCGCTGTACTTCTCGGAGACTTCAACCTCCAGATGGGGAAGATAGACGAACTAACATCTCTGTTAACCGCCTTTGCTTTCTCACTCTCTCCGTCCCCACCGACTCATAAAGCTGGCAATGTCCTTGATCTCATATTCTCAAGGAACTGCGCTACTTCTAACCTCTCTGTAAACCCGCTCCACACATCCGATCACTTCTTCATTTCATTCTCTCTATCCCTTTCCAAACATAACAAACTAATCTCTTCCCATCCTACACTTGTCCGCCGTAACCTTCGCTCCCTCTCTCCCTCTACCTTTGCCTCGTCGGTGCTCTCAGCCCTCCCTTCCTCTGATTCGTTCCAACTACTGCCTCCAAACTCTGCTGCAGAAACTCTCCTCTCTACTCTCTCATCCACTCTGGACTCGCTCTGTCCTCTGACATCTCGGCAGGCTCGTCAGTCCCCTCCTGCTCCCTGGCTAAATGATGCACTGCGTGCTAATAGAACCGTCCTTAGGGCAGCAGAGCGGAAATGGTGGAAATCCAAACACCGTGACGACCTCCTAACCTATCAGGCTCTCCTCTCCTCTTTCTCTGCTTCGATCTCTCAGGCAAAAAGCACTTTCTTTCAAGATAAGATCCAATCTTCCTATTCCAATCCTAAAAAACTATTTTCCATCTTCTCCACCCTCTTGGACCCTCCAAAAGCTCCTCCCCCCTCCTCACTTCTGTCAAGCGACTTTGTTACCCACTTTGAAAAAAAGGTTAATGATATTCGCTCTTCTTTTTCTGACTCACCTTTACTCACCGCTGGGTCACCAGACCTTCCTTCCACCAACACACTAACCTCCTTTTCCCCTCTCTCTCCAAGTGAGGTTCTTACCCTCATTACCTCTGCCCGCCCTACCACCTGTCCTCTGGACCCTATCCCTTCAAACCTCCTTCAGACTATCGCTCCTGATATTCTACCGTTTCTCACCCATTTCATCAACACTTCTCTAACTTCTTGTCACTTTCCAAACAGTCTCAAGGAGGCAAGAGTAAACCCTCTCCTAAAGAAACCCACTCTCAACCCGTCTGATGTTATAAACTACAGGCCTGTCTCTCTCCTCCCGTTCCTGTCTAAATCACTTGAACGCGCTGTCTTTAAACAACTCTCCTGTTATCTCAATCAGAACAACCTTCTGGATCCGCACCAGTCTGGTTTCAAGGCAGGTCACTCCACAGAAACTGCTCTCATTGCTGTCACGGAGGAACTGCACACTGCCAAAACTGCATCCCTCTCCTCTGTCATCATCCTGTTGGACCTGTCTGCTGCATTCGACACGGTGAATCATCAGATCCTCCTTCGCACTCTCCAAAAACTTGGAGTTTCAGGCTCTGCACTTTCCCTCCTCACCTCATACCTGAAAGACCGTACCTACAGGGTGACTTGGAGAGGGTCTGAGTCCGACCCTTGTCAATTAACTACGGGGGTCCCTCAGGGCTCTGTTCTTGGTCCCCTCCTCTTCTCCTTGTACACAAACTCGCTCGGATCAGTCATTAGCCCGCATGGTTTTTCTTACCACTGCTACGCTGACGACACCCAATTAATTCTGTCCTTTCCCCGCTCAGAGACCCAGGTCGTCGCACGCATCTCTGCTTGTCTAGCTGACATCTCTCAGTGGATGTCTGCTCACCACCTCAAGCTCAACCTTGACAAGACTGAGCTGCTCTTCCTCCCGGGAAAAGATTGTCCAACTCTTGACCTGACAATCAACATCGGCACCTCAGTTGTTTCCCCGACTCAGACTGCAAGGAATCTGGGTGTGACCCTAGATAACAACCTGTCCTTCACTGCAAACATCGCTGCTACAACCCGCTGCTGCAGATACACGCTTTACAACATCAGGAAGATACGTCCCCAGCTGACTCAGAAAGCGACTCAGGTTCTGGTCCAGGCTCTCGTCATCTCACGCCTAGACTACTGCAACTCCCTCCTGGCTGGTCTACCTGCATGTGCCATCCGACCTCTGCAGCTCATCCAGAATGCAGCGGCTCGTCTGGTTTTCAACCTTCCTAAATTCTCCCACACCACTCCGCTCCTCCGCTCCCTTCACTGGCTTCCGGTAACTGCTAGAATCCACTTCAAGACACTGGTACTTGCTTACCGTGCTGCGAATGGATCTGGCCCTTCCTACATCCAGGACATGGTTAAACCGTACACCCCAGCGCGTGCACTACGCTCTGCATCAGCCAAACGACTCGTTGCGCCCTCGCTGCGAGGGGGACCCAAGTTCCCATCGGCGAAAACACGTGGGTTTGCTATCCTGGCTCCAAGATGGTGGAATGAGCTCCCCATTGACATCAGGACGGCAGATAGCTTGCACATCTTCCGGCGCAAACTGAAAACTCATCTCTTTCGACTCCACTTCGAGCGTTAGAACGATTAACGAAGCACTTTTATACCAATAAAGGACTGGATTACCTAAAGCCAGTTGAGTAGCACTTGAAATGTTTGGCTCTATGAAACCTGATATACTTATATGATTCTGTTTTCTTCAAGGTTGTGTCTTCCTGGTCGAATGTACTTATTGTAAGTCGCTTTGGACAAAAGCGTCAGCTAAATGCAATGTAATGTAATGTAACTATATGCATTACACTGTTACACACCTACTATACAGTATAGACTACACTGTAGTGACTGTACAGTCAGAGTGTACTGTCTGTACACCATGTATTTTCTACAACTCTATATGTGTACATTATACAGTACATACTACATACATAGTGATAATAATAATAATAATAATAATAATAATGCATTTTATTTATATAGCGCTTTTCACAACTCAAAGACGCTTTACAGTATGAGGGAGGGTAGACAAACAAGGACAGGCAAACAAGTAAGTAAAAAAATAAAAAGGCAGTCAAGAGGAAGTTGATTGAGAGGGGGGGGGGGGGGGGGCTTATGGGTAGACAGAGTTGAAAATATGTGTTTTGAGGCGGGACTGAAAGACTGTGAGGGACTCAGAGTCACGGAGATATTGGGGGAGGGAATTCCAGAGCCTAGGAGCTGCCACTGAGAAGGCTCTGTCCCCAAAGCTGCAGAGTGTGGATGTGGGAATGGATAGGAGTCCGGCTGCGGTGGATCTGAGGGACCGTGGAGGTTGATAAGGAGTGAGAAGGTTTGTGAGATAAGGGGGGGCCAGATGGTGGAGGGCTTTGTAGGTGAGGACCAGAATTTTGTAGTTGATGCGATGGGAGACAGGAAGCCAGTGGAGATCTTTGAGGACTGGGGTGATGTGATGCCATGATTTGGTATGCGTGAGGAGACGTGCAGCTGCATTTTGAACCCGTTGGAGTCTGTTGAGGGATGTAGTGCTGATGCCGTAAAGAAGTGAGTTGTAGTAGTCGAGGCGGGAGGAAATGAAGGCATGGATTAGTCGTTCGGCTGCGGGGCGGGTGAGAGAGGGTAGGATTTTTGCAATATTGCGGAGGTGGAAAAATGAGGTTTTGACTGTTTGGCGGATGTGAGGTTCGAGGGAGAGGGTGGGGTCAAAGATTACGCCAAGGTTGCGTGCCTGATTGGAGGGGGAAACAATGGTGCCATCGATGGTGAGAGTTATGTTAGTGACCTTGCTGAGGGTGGATTTGGAGCCGATTAGGAGGAGTTCTGTTTTGTTGCTGTTCAGTTTGAGGAGGTTATGTTGCATCCAAGTTTTAATAGCTGTCAGACAGGAATCGATGTGGGTAAGGGGTGGGTCATGGAGGGATTTGGTGCTGAGGTAGATCTGAGTGTCATCAGCATAGCAGTGGAAGTCGAGGTTGAAGTGGCGGAGTATCTGACCGAGGGGGAGGATGTAAATGATGAAGAGGAGGGGGCCAAGTACTGATCCTTGAGGAACGCCTTGGGTGACTGAAGCTGTGACAGAGGAATGGTTTGGGAGGGAGATGAAGTGGGATCGTTCAGTGAGGTAGGACTGGAGCCATCTGAGTGCAATACCTTCAATACCAATGTCCCTGAGTCGGGTGAGCAGGATGTTGTGGCTCACGGTATCGAAGGCTGCACTCAGGTCGAGGAGGATGAAAATATTGAGGGAACCAGTGTCAGCAGAGGTTAGGAGGACATTGAGGACTATGACGAGTGCAGTTTCTGTACTGTGGTGAGGACGAAATCCAGACTGAAGGGGTTCATAAAGCTGGTTGGTTTGGAGATGGCAGTGAATTTGTTTGGCTACAATGCGTTCAAGAGTTTTTGAGAGGAATGGTAGGTTGGAGATAGGGCGGTAATTAGTGAGGGAGGAGGGATCAAGACCAGGTTTTTTGAGGATTGGAGTAACGGCAGCAGTTTTGAAGGCAGAGGGGACGGTTCCATGGGACAGCGAGGAGTTGAAAAGGTTAGCAAGATAGAGGCAGAGGACGGGGAGGCAGGACTTCAGAAGAGGAGTGGGTAGAGGGTCAAGGGAGCAGGTTGTGGGATTTGAGGAACCGATCAGATGGAGTATTTCAAGTGGGGTCACCAGGTTGAACTGGGAGAGGCGGCGCTGGGGAGGAGTCAGGAGGTCGAGGGAGATGGGGGGAGAAATGGTAGTGGTGGAGGTTGGGGGAGATGCTTGTATTATATCAGATGGAGCTGAGAAGGAGTGGTTAATGGCGTTAATTTTGTCTGCGAAAAACTGGAGGAATGAGCTGCAAGTAGCGGAAGTAGAAGTAGGGAGGTTATCAGCACGGGGTTTGAAAAGCTTGTTAACTGTGGAGAAGAGGGTCCTGGGGTTACGGGAGGGGTCAATTAAGATGTTGGAGAGGTAGGCAGATTTAGCGGCAATAAGAGCATCTTTGTATGCATTGAGATGGAGTTTGTAGCTTATGTAATGGACTGTGAGGGATGATTTCTTTGAAAGACGTTCAAGTTGGCGGCCTCGCTGCTTCATTTTACGCAGTGCGGGTGTGAACCAGGGTGAGGAGGTCTTGAAAGTAACAGTTTTATTTTTGAGGGGGGCTAAAGTGTTGAGGGAGGTGAGTAGGGTGGAGTTGAGGTGGTTGAGCAGATCATCAGGTGAGCTAAGGGTTGCGTCCAGGGGGAGATTAGATGATAGCAGTTCGGAGAGATGGTTATGGTCAATGGAGTGTAGATTACGGAAGGTGATGTTTCTGGGTGGGCAGGGGTTTCGGGTGGGGGGGGGGGCAATGGTGAATTGTATGAGTTTGTGGTCGGAGAGGGGAAATGGGCAAGGGTGGAGGTCAATCACTGGGAGGTTGGTAGAGCAGACGAGATCTAGAATGTGTCCTTTGTCATGGGTGGGGAAGGTGACATGTTGGGTGATAGAGAAATTGTCAAGTAGGGTTGTGAATTCGGATGCCAGCTTGCGGGTGGGTGAGTCAATGTGAATGTTGAGGTCACCAAGTAGTAACAGACGTTGAGAGAGAGATGAGGCAAGTGTGAGGAATTCAGTGAAATCAGAGAGGAAGGAGGGATGAGGTTTAGGAGGCCGGTAGATGAGGATGACTGTCAGTGAGGGAGGGGCTTTGAAGGCAATGAATTCAAAGGATGATACTGAGGGGAGGGTTAGTTCTGTGATCTGGATGTTCTGATTGTGGATTACAGCAAGGCCGCCACCACGGCGGGAGGGGCGGGGTTTAGTGATGTATTTAAAGCCAGGGGGGGATGTTTGGTTGAGGGAGAATAAGTCATCGGGCTGTTGCCAGGTTTCGGTGAACAGAAGGAAATCAAGGGATTTTTCCAAGATTAGTTCATGGAGGATGAGGGCTTTCTTGTTGAGTGATCGGATGTTAAGGAGGGCAATGTTAGTTGAGTGGGAGGGGCGTGGTGTGGTCACAGACTGAAGAGGTAAGAGGTTGTCCAGGTTGACAGTGCGGGGAGGAATGTGAGATGGGGGGGAGGAGTGGCGAGGAGGTGGAAGGAAGTGTGTTATTATCAGTTTTTGGTGGTTGAGGGCGGTGGAATCCACTCCAGGTATTTGGGCCAGCTCTGAGCAGAGGGCAGTGGAATCCACTCCAGGTATTTGGGCCAGCTCTGAGCAGAGGGCAGTGGGATCCACTCCAGGTAATTGGGCCAGCTCTGAGCGGAGGGCGGTGGAATCCACTCCAGGTATTTGGGCCAGCTCTGAGCAGAGGGCAGTGGGATCCACTCCAGGAATTTTGACCAGCTCTGAGAAGAGGGCAGTGGAATCCACTCCAGGTTTTCGGTACAGCTGGGATTGTAACGGACCAGTGGTGGGTGTATAATATGGAGTAATAAGTGCGCTCAGATGACATGACAGTTGTGGGACATGGCGGTTAGTCGACCAGATAGATGTTATGGATGATTTTCCGGACTGGGAGTAAACAAATCTGCGTTTGGAACCTCTATGGACATACCTCGGTCTGCGTAGAAGCCCGAGGCAATTGATGACAGACAAGCTTAGAGGAAGCGCAGAAAAGTTATTGAGATTAAAAAGTTGGGAGACAGAGTATCGTAACATCGTAGTGCCGCGGTAGGATGCTAGCGTTAGCACAGCGCTGGCTATGGTTGTAGACCAGCGGCGCTGAAAGTGGAGCTGTTGGCAGCCGTCAGACAGGATGAGATGTCAGTTGCAGGCTGTCCTTTACAGCAGATGGGGGGACCGGCAGGAGCGGGAGGTTTAAAGAACCAGAGTCAGGGCCCACGGGGAGGGGCAGGACGAAGAATGGGGCTGGTTATTTGATGGATGGAGCAGCGTTAGCAGGTGGGCTACATTGGCAGGGTAGAAAACCAAAGCGTCAGTCAAAAATGGCAATCGGGTGTAAATAAATATGTCCAGATATACATATGATATACATACATACTGTTAGAAATTAAAATCAATGTTGATATTTAATTTAAATCAGTTTTATTCTGAAAAAACCGGAAGTTCACACTATTAACTTCATACTTTTATTCTGAAAATTCTTCACTTCCGGTTAGCATTAGCATGTGTCAAAATGCTACGTTTTCAAACCGTGAATCGAAGGTGAAATGACATGTGATGTTGTACACTGAGCACACTGGGTTTAGCACTCATTTATTGACGCTGAATAACGTTTATCAGGGAATGATTAAATAACCACAGACACCAGAATATACGTAAGTGCTAGTTTTTTTGCGAGTCCAAGTACCGGTTCCCGACGTTCCGGTTTTAACCGGACTTGAACCGAAACTTTTTACAAGTCCAGTACCGGTTCGGCGTACCGGTACGCAGCACTAGTCACAGGGGAAGGGAATCAGGACCCGAATGCACAATGAAAGAGGCGGGTATAAAAGTATAAACAAAAAGCAAGCTTTAATAATAAAAGCTGCCCTCTAAGGCTATCGCTATTGGGTTATCCCCCTGCACCCCCGCGCAGCACTGAAACACTTTTAGTCCATGCCCACCCGCAAGGTGGGCCCCACCCTCGGGCCTCCTTCCGGTATAAATAGGAAGGGGGCCCGGCAATCTGCTCCCTCTTTTCTTCAGCAACCAGCACAGTACTGAAGCACAGGAAATTTGAGTCATGAGCAACAACTGTGTCCGTGATTGTCCCTCATGTAAGACGGGGTATATCATGAGCTATGACCTACACGCGATATGCGAATCCTGCCTGGGGCCAGAGCACGCGGACGCGGCTCTCAGCCAGCAGGTCGCGTGTTCGCATTGTGCCCGTCTCCCGTCAGCCGACAGGAAGCGAAGAGCGGACGCTCTAGCTGATGCGGCTGAGGAGGACGATTGGCCCGTCCAGGAGCACAGGGACGACAGCCTGTCTCTGGGGCCGAGTCGGACGACTCCTACCCCGTCTCCCTCCATGGCTCGCCATGCGGCTCTCCCCTCCCCACTCTCCCCCGGACGGGGGAGACGTGTCGGAGCGAGGTACGGGTGTGGCGGCCGAGCATGCGGTCCCGTTCTCCGTTGCCACGGCGCTGCCGGCGTTGGGTGGCATCATGCTGGAGCTGCCGGAGATCATCGGCAAGGCGGCAGCATGCAGAGGTCTCCCCGTTCCCCCAGGACGGGAGAGGGTGGCTCTGGACGACATGGCCGGAGTTTTTTCCCGGGTTCAGACGGGCAGGAGTGACCCGATCTGGCCGCGCTTCCCCGCCATTAGGAGGTACCAGGAGGGGGCTGCGGTGAACCCGAGGACCCAGAGGGCTCCGGTGGCCACCTTTGTTCCCTTCACTAAGGTGGAGGGATTCACGGAGGAGGGTTTACCAACCACCCCCGCTCTGGAGCCGAGCTTGACGGCGTTCTTTGGGGTTAGGCAGGCCAACTTGATCGCCGGACGGCGCCCTACGTTGGCCTCCCCCAGGGACCAGTATGTCGCCCGCCGGGCTGACCGGGCGCACTAGTGTGCGTTTCAGGCGTCTGCGGCGGCAAACAACATTGCGTTGCTGGCCAACTCGGTGGTTACGCTGGTGGAGCGGTCCACCACCGTGGCTCCAGAGGAGGTGGAGGAGATCGGCAAGGCGGCCAGCACGGCACTCATGCTGTGCGCATCCGTGGCAGTCTCCCAGGCGAGAATCGCGGCGTGGATGACGCAGATCCAGCGCCATCTCTGGCTGCAACAGGCGGCTGTTACAGAGCCGGCCAGGAAGGTCTTGCTGGCCAGGAAGGTCTTGCTGGATGCTCCGATCAGCCCGGACGGGCTGTTCGGACCCCAGTTTTTAGCCATGGTGGAGTCCATGAAGGCGGCAGCAGAGCAGGCGGATGATATCCTCCAGCACGTTGGCTGGCTCCAGCCGGCGGAGAAGCCTCAGCGGCAGCAGCAGCGGCCAACACGGCCACAGCGACAGGCAGAGAGACGCTCACAGCAACCGCAGCCGAGGCGTCAGACTCGTCCGTCGGCGGCGGCAGGGGCACCGTCCCGCGCCTCCGCCCCCCCACCAATGGAGAGGGGGGGTCAAAAGGGAGTGAGGTACTCCCGTTCGTCGTCTGCTCCACGAGAGCCGCCGAAGAAGCAGAGCCGGCCTTGACGGTTTGGGGGGGGGGAGTGTGAGGAAAATAAAAGAAGCTTATTTCCCAACCTTTTGTCTGAGTCATCAGTTTCAAATGTGTTTCACATATCCCCCACTCTGGGTGAACCAGCTGCCTATGACCTATCGGTTAATAGCCAGCAGGGTTCGTTACAAAAGCCTGCACATTTTAATCTATCGGTTAATAAGCTGCAGAGCACAGTAACTACGCCAGCTGCCTCCAATCTGTTGATTAGTAGGCAGCAGGGTTCGCTGCAGAGGCCTGGTGGTTATAACTTTTCGGTTATTAAACCACAGACCTCGCGGCATTCCTCTGTCCGAGATACGCCACCTACACACGTTCACAATAAGCCCATGAGCGCCGTGGTAACGCCTCATGTGGACGTCACTGCACACACCTCCACTCATCCTCTGAGCGTGTATGCGCCTCATGATGAGAGTCGGAGTGAAACGCAGCGTGTGGAGGCCTCCTCACAGCCCTTTCGCTCTAGGCCCACCTTGGGTTGCCTCACGGGCAGCGGCGGCGAGGGCTCTGGCGTGGCTCGTCGTCATGACGACCACAACACATCTCAAGCATGTGCGCCCGCTCTCAGAGTGTTTCTCGGAGTGGCAGCGCATGTGTCTGATAGACAGATGGATGAGCAGGCTGATCAGCAGAGGGTACACCCTGCAGTTCGCCTCCCCCCCACAGTTCAACGGGATACAGGAGACACGCCTGTCATCCTGAGAACAGTGTCTTGCGCTCCAAACAAGCTACGGGAACTCCTGTTGAAAGAGGCTATTTCCAGGGTTCCCCAAGAGGAAGAAAATCAGGGGTATTACTCCCGCTACTTTCTTACGCCGAAAAAGACGGGGGGAATGAGACCCATCCTCGACCTGTCAGCTTTCAACAAGGCAATACTGAAAAGGCCTTTTCACATGCTGACGGTCAAAAGGGTGCTAGAGTGTGTTCACCAGGGAGACTGGTTTACCTCTATAGACCTAAAGGATGCATACTTCCACGTACCCATCATCCCACAACACAGGAAATTCCTGCGGTTTTTATTCCAGGGAATATCGTACCAGTACAAGTTGTGCCTGTTAACTGTTTTGGACTATGAGAAGATCTCTAGTCATCCTGAGGAGTCTACTGGATTCAGGTCTGTTCTGCCACCCGCAGTGGGCATCCCCTGCAAAGGTTCGGATGTGTTACACAAACAATTACCGATTGCCTTGTCACAGACAATCAGTTCGGCAAAATATGTTTGTCGGTTTTGTTTGCCTGCTATGATGGTTCTTCAGGACTGCTTCTTGAGCTCTAATCACACTTTCACAGACTTTGCTGGTGATTTTAAAGTAGTTGACAATGTATGTGTGTCGATTAAGAGGAAAAGATGCCTGGTTTTCTTGTTGTTATTGCTGTCAGGAAATGTACAACCTAACCCTGGACCGCCCAGTAGTAGTAGTCAGATCGCTACTCCTGCTGATTTGAATTCTAGGTCTGGGCTGGGTTTCATTCACTTAAATGTGCGCAGTCTGTAACCTAAACTAGATTTTGTCCGCATTTGGGCAAGCTCGACTGATGCTGATGTCATTGTCTTATCAGAAACTTGGCTAAATAAATCTATATTGGCCTCTGACACATTCTTAAATGGTTACAGTGTATCGTACCGACCGACCTAATAAAGGTGGTGGCGTTGCCATTTATGTGAAAAATAAGTTTTGTGTAGCCAAGATGGTTTCCAAATCTATCAGTAAACAACTCGAATTTTTAGCCTTAAATATCGAAGTAGCAAAGGGTCAACAGATCATGGTGGTGGACTGTTACAGACCTCCCTCAGCTGTCAAGGGCTCCTTGTCTTCGTTGGAAAATCTTTTATCTCAACTTGACTACAAGGAAATAGTGCTACTTGGTGATTTTAACTGGGACTGGTTAACTGCAGTATCAGAGGATTTTAAAAACCTTTGTATCTCTTTGAATGTTACTCAGATTGTGGACAGTCCTACTCGCCCTAACATTAAGTCCCCTAATAAATCCTCCCTAATTGATCTCATCTTAACTAATGTTCCCCATAAATACTCATCTGTGGGAGCATGTGCTAATGATTTGAGTGATCACTGTGCTGTAGCCACAATTAGGGACACTAAGGTCCAAAAGGGTAAACCTCGCATTATCAGTAAGAGAGACACAAAACATTTTGTGGAGCAGGGTTTTGTGCATGATCTGTTTGATTGGGAAATAATTAAGCTGTGTGCTGATGTTGAAACTGTGTGGTCTTATTTTTATCTTGGTTTTATGGAAATTATTGATAGACATGCACCCCTGTGTACATTTAGAGTGAAGGGACGAGACAATCCTTGGTTTTCTGCTGAACTGTCTAGTCTCCTGCATGAGAGAAACAAGGCCTGGGCAAAGGCTAGGAAATCAGGCTCAGAGGTAGAATGGCTGCGCTTTAGGCAGCTAAGAAATAGCTTCACATCTAAAATAAAAAGTGCTAAGTCGAAGTATTATCTGTCAGTTACCACAAAAAACCTGAATAACCCTGGACATTTTTGGAAAGCCATAAAATCGATATCCACCGGTGAAATCCGTAATGAGCTACCTCCGTGCCTTACCACAGCATCTGGCTCTATATCGGATAGGGCCACCATGTTAAATTGCTTTAATAAGCATATTGTGTCCTGTGGCTCTCCGTTTGATTCTGTCACTAACTCTGCTTCTGTGAACACCACAGTCGGTGACTCAGAACAATGTGGTCTGGAAAACTCTTTCAGTTTTACTCCTTTTACTATTGATGTTGTTCATGAAGCATTAACCAAGTTAGATCCTAAGAAACCGGCTGGCCCGGACAACGTAGAACCTTTCTTTTTAAAGATAGCTGCAGATTTCATTGCTCCACCTCTCACTTCTCTTTTTAACCTCTCCCTCAGCACAAACACAATTCCAAAAGTATGGAAGTCAGTGTATGTCCTGCCTTTGCTAAAAGGAGGGGAGACAACCTTATTAAATAACTATAGGCCTATCTCTAAATTGTCAGTTCTGGCTAAGGTTCTTGAACGCCTAGTGAGTGAACAGATAAAGGAGTTTTTATGTACAAATGATATCCTGTCTAAACATCAGTCAGGCTTCAGAAAGCAACACAGCACCATCACTGCGACAATGAAAGTGGTAAATGATATTGCTAATATCTTAGACAAAAAGCAGAGTTGTGCAGCTCTATTTGTTGACTTGTCCAAAGCGTTTGATACCGTCGATCATCGCATCTTAAAGCAGAGGCTGGTCAGCATTGGCATATCCAGCCATGCAGTGGGTGGTTTGTGAACTACCTCTCTGAAAGGTCCCAATGTGTTCACTTTGATGGGCTGTCTTCTGAGTGGTTAAACATCACTAATGGTGTACCACAAGGTTCTGTTTTAGGTCCGCTATTATTCTCCATCTATATCAATAGTTTAGTTGAAAATGTCGATGGAGCAACCTTACATTTTTATGCGGATGATACCGTGATGTATTGTGCAAGTCCCTCCATTAAGGAGGCTGGTGTTAAATTACAGGCTGTTTTTAACATTATTCAGACTCAGCTCTCTGAGCTTAAGCTTCTTTTAAATGTTGATAAAACCAAGGTAATGCTATTTTCAAACGCTAAAAAGACACCAGAACCTGTTATAGATATTGTAACTACGCCTCTGGCATTTGAGTTTTGGTACATTGGAACATTTAAATATGCATGCTCAACCACATCTCTCATTATTTACAGCAAAGCAGAAGTGGCATATCACCGACTTTATAGCAGCTGATCCAAAGCATCAAGAGCAAAACCATCCCAACATCTACAGAACTACGGATTTGAGGAAACAGCTGAATGATGAGGTGAGTATCTGCTTCTGAATTATATATCATTGTAAGAATATATAATGAGTATTAAAGGGTTTATTTAATGTCTTATTGAGTTCAGGAGTACTATACATCTGAACATATGAATCTGAATATAAATGTTTCCAAACCCTCTCTTCATTCTTCACCTTTTCTATTCTATATTTATTTTTAATTTATTTTCTTAGAGGTTTAAAGTTTCAAGGCTCAAGGTTTCGATATTGTCATTCTACAACTCTGGGTTACCCAACAACATGAAAGCTCTCGTCTCTGCATGCTGAACAAGAAATGAACAAAACATAGTTATGAGCTCTCATCTCAAACAGTCATCACCTTAAACCCAAAGTGAACGCTGCGTCTGTTCTCTCTCTGTCAGAGTTCTGGCCTCCACAGGGATTTCCCCTGACAACCTTTAATATATCGGATATAAGGAAAAGGAGATTGTCAAATTCAGGTCCCTGATAAGTGTGTATCTTCTATTTGGAGACAATGTGGTTCTGTTGGCAGACCATGGTGTCCAGCAATCATTGGGCCCTCAGCAGCTGAGTGTGAAGCAGTCAGGATGAGAGTCAGTACCTTGAAGTCTGAAGCCATGGGTCTATGCCAGAAAACGGTGGAATGCTCCCTCCGAGTTGTGAGGTAGTGAAGGAGTTAAAACATGTTTGCTAATGGGCAAGGGGTAAAGTAGAGTGTGAGATTGACAGGCAGATTGAAACAGAAGCAGCAGTAATGCATGTGTTGGTGAAGGGGGAGTTGAGCCCAAAGGCAAGTCTCCCATTTACCAATCGTTCTACGTTCCAACCCTCACTTATGATGAACTTCAGGGATTAAGTTAAATGGATAATTTACTATCTGCCTATTCAGTGTTTTTTTGCTCTATTCCTTCCTTCTATTCTCCCTTCCTCTAAATTAGTTATTCAAATGTTGCACACTTCAGAGGCATTTTGCCTGTGCTGGATTCTCTTGTCCCATATGTGAAACCCATTGTAACAAACCTGGGTGTACAGACTGAACCTGATTCAAACTAGACAAACAAATACTGTGGTAAAATCCTGCTTTTTTCAGCTAAGAATTTTAGCAAAGGTCAAGCCTTTCCTTTCTTTTCATGACTTTGAGAGAGTAATACATTGTTTTATATCCACTAAACTGGATTACTGCAATGCTCTGTACATTGGAGTAAGCAAGGCTTCCCTGTCACGCCTACAGCTGGTCCAGAATGCTGCTGCACCCCTCCTTACAAGGACAGGCAGACGTGAACATATTACACCTGTACTCGCCTCGTTACATTGGCTACCAGTCCATTTTAGAATACAATTTTAAATGTTGCTGTTCACACACAAAGCCCTAAACGGTTTAGCCCCACCGTACCTGGCAGATCTTTTAAAACCATACACATCCACACGGTCACTGAGGTCTGCTGACAGACTCCTTCTGGTCGTCCCTAAATCAAGGTTAAAGCAGCGAGGAGACAGAGCCTTTGCTATTGCAGCTCCAAAGTTATGGAAGGAATTGCCCCTCAGGGTTAGACTTGCTCCAACTCTGCCTGTTTTTAAATCTCGTTTAAAAACCCATTTATTTTCCCCTGCATTTACAGACCGACACTTGTGCTGTTAACTTTGGGTTTTCATCTTACTAGTGTTTTGTATTGTTTTTACGTCATGTAGGAGAGTTTCTCAGTCGGTGGCTTCTGATCTGGTTTCATTGTCTCGTGTTTTACATTTGTTTCATGTCCCGTCTGTTTTTTATGTATGTATGCTGTTTTTTTATACAGTTGTTGATGTACAGCACTTTGTTCAACTCTGTTGTTTTTAAATGTGCTATAGAAATAAAGTGGATTGGATTTTGTATTAAACTATTCAGGATGTTTTTTTAAAAACAACTCTTTTTTTTTTATTAGTGCTGCTCAAACACTGGCGTCCAGACTGAAGGCCCTGCAGTGCCACTTCACCTGGGACCTTGACCTCAGCAGGTCCTTACTTTTACGTTGTAGGGACAACTTGTTAGACATTAGTACAGATAATGGAAACAGATGGCTGGGTCACATCTACAACCTGCGAGGGTTCATTCAGTACAAGCTGGGATCCAATGAAGACGCCCAACGTTTCTTCAACAAGGCTACAGAGGCCTTCAATAAGATGAGAAACGCAGATGAGGGCCCCTGGTTGGTGGTGAACTACGGGAACCTGGCTTGGCTGCACCACCAACTGGGAGACCAAGCAGAGAGCGAGGCCTACCTGTCAAAAGTCGACGCCCTGAATGAAAAATACCCATCTCCATCCCAGGAGGAGCTCCACCCAGAGATCTACGCTGAAAAAGCCTATACGCTGATGACGTTTAACGGCGACATGAACCTGGTTGCCGATTACTTCCAGAGAGCCATCGAGATGCAGCCGGACATGGTGTGGAACAGCTGGCATGTCTTAGCGTTAACGTATGCTTCTAAGTACAGCAGCACAGGGCTGGATGATGACATCTTTCAGAAAATGAGAATTGTCCAAGAACAGGATCCAGAGAACTTGAACCTTGCTGCTCACTACCTTTGTCAACGTGCTCAGAAAGGAGAAAGTATTGAAGATGAAGCACGTGAGTTAGCCACAAAGGTTTTGGGAAGTCCTGTCGGCAGCTACAGTGGTTTAAAAACCATTGCTATGGGTTTACAGAAAATATATATCTGATGATGAGGCCATTGATTTGGCAGAGGAGGCTCTGAAGAACCATCCAGATGAGCGTTATCTGAAGAGACGTGCTGCTCTCTGCTACCAAAAGAGGGTCCTTCGCAGAAACAGTCCCTCAACGAAAAGCATGCTAGACAGAGCAGTCAGTCTTCATCAGGAGGTGATTCTTCTTTACCCTGATTCCTCACTTAAGAAGAAACTACACCTTGCCTGGATATACCCACAGTCACATGATGGTCAGGCTAAAGCCGAGCAGATATATCAGGAACTGTTCAAAAGTTATCTGGAACCTGAAGATAAACAAATGCTTTACAACTACTATGCACAATATTTATATTTCCAAAAACAGGATCACAAAATGTCACTACAATATCACATGGAGGCAGCAAAGATACAGCACCAATCCTTCTTTCGTAAGAACAGCATCAAAGTTCTGGAGAAGATTAGAGACAAAGGCAGACACAGAATGTGTGGAGAAATAAGAACGTTTCTGGCAAACCTGCCAGAGCCATAGTGTTCTTAACAGCACAGGGAGAACAATCAGAAAAAAACATAGGTATTGCACTGCCTAAAAATAATCTATACTTATTGATTGAGCTGTGTACTTTAAAGGCAGTTTCAACAAGTGTCTGCACATAAGTATAGTAGTAGTAGTAGTAGTAGTAGTAGAACCTTTATTTATCCAGGAAAATCAATTAAGAACAAATTCTTATTTACAATGATGACCTGACAGGAGGCAAAGGCTTCCTGAGGGGATGGGGTTTGGGAGGAAAAATAAATAAAAAGACAGACTCCGGGCACTACAGAACCCAGGAGACAACACAAACACATAGAGCAAAGATGACAGGCATAGCAGTTAAACATATAAAAACTCTAAAACAATATTGCTGTGGTTCAATCAGTCATTAAAATCAGCATCAGGCAAAGCAGCTACATGTGTGTACCAGGGTGTCAATAATAGTGACATTCAGGCCCGGACTGGCCATCGGGAGGACCGGGAGGTTTCCCGATGGCCTGGCCTGTTAAGTGGCCTGCTGGCTTGAGGAATTTTTTTTATGTATTGTGAACGCAACGCTGCGCAAATGTGGGTCTGACTCTGCCTCACAGAGGGTGACTGGCTGTCTACATGATGTGGCCTGTCGACATGGCCACTTTCATACAGATCATACACTAATGCCCTCGATTGGTCTCGTGTCATTCAAGCTCGGGAGGGTGTGTATGTGTGGCGCGAGCAAGCGAGAGAGAAAGCGCCTGCACTGGTTACGTGTATTGTTGTTGTTAGCATCCGGTGCTAGCTAGCGGCGCTAACGGAATGAGCTGTCAACAAGGTGGAGGAGAGTCCTCTGCTGTCAGACTGAGAGACTGATAACTACAGCTCAGGTGAGGTAAAGGACTCTCTGAGTGCTTAGATAGTTAACTTAGTCTAAGTTCACTGTGGGTCTCAAACGGTTTGGTCACCATTTATGTAAACACATATTTCCATTTGAAGAGGGAGTGATTAGTAAAATATGCATGAATAATACAAAAAAAAAAGTTAACTAGGTGAAAAAAGGTAGGATAAACTTTAAAAACTTGTTGAGAGCTAAAACTAGTCTTTGCTGCTGCCTCAAAGAGGAGCAGGGGGGAGACAGGTCAGGCTGGTTCAGGAGCCCAGACACACTATGCCATGTTAACTATAAATGAACCAAAAACAAATAAATAAACAAGTTTAAATGTTTTTTCATATTGGATATGGTATGTTATTGGTTATGGCCATGTTCTTATGATTTTATGATTATTTAAATGTATACAGTTCTGTTTCATATGGGTGTAGTCTCTTTATTTCCTCCTCAAAGTGCACCAGATTGATGCATTTAAGTCCAACATTAAAAAAAAAAAAATCTTCCGCGGGGAGCATGCCCCCGACTCCCCTAGAGGATTTGAGGTCCACCTCCACTTAAAATATGTTCACATGGATAGGTTCCTAAATAGATTTGCACTTTTAAAAAAAAATAGTAACCCATGTCCATATGTTTATTCTGGGGTAGTTTTAAAGTTTAGGGCCATCACTATGGGCAGCAACGCTGTAAATATTGACAAATAAATCCAGGAAAATTGCACAAAATAAAACTGGTAGTGGCCTGGTTGGGTGTATAATTCCCGGCCTGACTTATTGTCCCAGTCCGGCCCTGGTGACATTGAAGGTGCGGGGGGAGACAAAGGTTTTCATTTTCAAAGTTTTTTGAAAGACATTCCAGCTATCAGCTGCTGCAAACTGAAAGGCGGAGCGGCCAAAGGATGTAAGGGCTTTGGGGATCTTTAACAGGATGCTTGTAGCTGACCGGGTGTTGTGCGGATTTGCAGTAATTGTGTGAGGTAGAAGGGGGTGAGGCCTAGGAGTGTTTTGTAAACAAACATCAGCCAGTGGATGTTGCGTCTGGTCTCAAGAGAGGGCCAGTTAGCCAGAGAGTACAGGTCACAGTGGTGTGTCCTGTAGGGGGCATTGGTGGCGAAGCGGATGGCGGAGTGATACAGAACGTCTAAACGTATAGACAGAGGCTGTTTAAAGATATATCTAAAAGCTCATACTTATGCACTGAAAAACTAGCAGTAGTTATCTCGATTTAGGAAACAAGCCAAATCCTTTATAACGCTGGTTGTTAACATGTTGTTTCATTAATTATGTGTATGTGTTCCATGTGCTCTGTTCCTTCTAGCAAAATACTCTATGACCTATGAAATGTGCTTTGCCGTAAGCTTTTATTTGTGTAATATAAAAATGTGTGATTGGTATTTCAATATATTATGGATATAACCTCAATAGTATAGCATGATGCAACTGATTGTAAGTCAAGAGTGCCTCGATGCTGTAAAAAACAATAAAAATGCATTGTGTAAACCAAGAAATGTACTTGTTTGTGGTTTCCTGGTTGCTTTAGGGTTAAACCATTCATGTATGAATTATGAAAACGTCAGTCAGGATTTTATTACCAAGTGTCCTTATTGCTCTTGGGGCATTAAACACAAGATTTGAACATTAGTTTCTTTTTATCTAGTTTTTTCAAATTTTGAAAATAAAAGTTGTATAAGTCCACTCAGGTGGTCAGTATGCGTTTAGGTTTGAACTGAAGACATGTACATTTTGAAAAAATGATAAATAAAGATGTGCAAACTTAAAATGACATTATAATAACTTAAGTATATTGATTTACGGCCCAACAAGATATTGCAGATGAAGTATTTTCAAGAACAACAGTAGCAGTAACAGTATGAATTGTAGTTTAAATATAGCCAGTGATGCATGACGTCCACTGTAGTGGACAGGTGATTAATCATAATTTCCTGCAAACATAAAATCAATACTTTGACAATTTATGAATTATATGATTCCTTAGTTGTTACTTGATGTCACCAACATTGTTATACCTGCAGGGGGCGCTTTCCATAAAAGGATTGGCAAGATATTGACTAGTGATTCGGTCCATCTGGCTTTCTGTCGTCTATCTTGGTTTAGAGAAATGTATCATGCACTTCCACTGACTTTCCACTGAGTGGCAGTGTATGGGATGATGCAATAGGGTCCTATGTAGTGGCTGATGTGCAACTACGCCATCAAAACCCATGCATATACAAGAAAACACCTTTTGAATAGTTGTCCACTGTAGTGACCTCTATGCATGAAATACATGCAGATACGCTAACATGTAGCAGTAAATGTTCCACTTTGAAGTCAACAAGGATGAACAATAAACACAAACAGCTGTATGAGAACTTCCCCAAGGGATAAGGGGTGATGAAGGACAGTGCTCCTATAAAAGAAGATGAACTTTTATCTTAAAATAAGTTTTATTTTTTTAGTTCAGCAGTACCCTGTCAACAGGAAGTGGTATCCAAACAGTAACCTGGTTACAGCAGTAGATGGCAGCAGCAGAACGTCATGGTGCCGGTGTCTCCAAAAGCTCTTCATTCTGACACTGCAGACAGCTGCTGCTCATGATCTAAATGAGTATGACATAACGTGCATTAAAACTGAACTTTTCCATTTGATATTAACTCATTTACATATCACCATGCACTGTTTCCTTCTATGAATCCTATATGCGTCACAGGTAGTGCTGCGTACCTGGACTCACATTCAGGTTCAGAGGTTCAGGTTCAGGTCCGGACTTATAAGTCCGGACCTGAACCCATGGCTTGTGTCAAGTTGTGTGAGTAACTAAAGTGAACTTATTGTGAGCTAATTATCAATTGAAAATTAACTCATAATCAACTCAAATTCAAACTCATCAGGTGTATTGTTCTCCCTTCCAACTTGTGTCTAGATTTCTCTACAAAGTACAAATATAAAAAAAACACTTTTTGCCACTTAGTCTACAAATGACTTGTGACAGCAACTACAGTGAACTACTACAAAGTTCAAACATTTATTTCATTTACCAAACTAAAGTAACCAAACAGTCCCTGAGCTGACTGAGCCTAAATTCCTAAAACGTTGCTGAAAGGTAGAGTGTAGAGTAGACTATACGCATTACACTGTTACACACCTACTATACAGTATAGGCTACACTGTAGTGACTGTACAGTCAGAGTGTACTGTCTGTACACCATGTATTTTATACAACTCTACATGTGTACATTATACAGTACATACTACATACATAGTGATAATAATAATAATAATAATAATAATAATAATAATAATGCATTTTATACATATAGCGCTTTTCACAACTCAAAGACGCTTTACAGTATGAGGGAGGGTAGACAAACAAGGACAGGCAAACAAGTAAGTAAAAAATAAAAAGGCAGTCAAGAGGAAGTTGATTGAGAGGGGGGGGGGGCTTATGGGTAGACAGAGTTGAAAATATGTGTTTTGAGGCGGGACTGAAAGACTGTGAGGGACTCAGAGTCACGGAGATATTGGGGGAGGGAATTCCAGAGCCTAGGAGCTGCCACTGAGAAGGCTCTGTCCCCAAAGCTGCAGAGTGTGGATGTGGGAATGGATAGGAGTCCGGCTGCGGTGGATCTGAGGGACCGTGGAGGTTGATAAGGAGTGAGAAGGTTTGTGAGATAAGGGGGGGCCAGATGGTGGAGGGCTTTGTAGGTGAGGACCAGAATTTTGTAGTTGATGCGATGGGAGACAGGAAGCCAGTGGAGATCTTTGAGGACTGGGGTGATGTGATGCCATGATTTGGTATGCGTGAGGAGACGTGCAGCTGCATTTTGAACCCGTTGGAGTCTGTTGAGGGATGTAGTGCTGATGCCGTAAAGAAGTGAGTTGTAGTAGTCGAGGCGGGAGGAAATGAAGGCATGGATTAGTCGTTCGGCTGCGGGGCGGGTGAGAGAGGGTAGGATTTTTGCAATATTGCGGAGGTGGAAAAATGAGGTTTTGACTGTTTGGCGGATGTGAGGTTCGAGGGAGAGGGTGGGGTCAAAGATTACGCCAAGGTTGCGTGCCTGATTGGAGGGGGAAACAATGGTGCCATCGATGGTGAGAGTTATGTTAGTGACCTTGCTGAGGGTGGATTTGGAGCCGATTAGGAGGAGTTCTGTTTTGTTGCTGTTCAGTTTGAGGAGGTTATGTTGCATCCAAGTTTTAATAGCTGTCAGACAGGAATCGATGTGGGTAAGGGGTGGGTCATGGAGGGATTTGGTGCTGAG